TCTAGCCGGAGTAGTTTCTTCTATTCGTACATGACCAAGCTTAACTATTTGCTTAACTATGTTACTGTCGCGGTAAAGCTTATACAGCTCATTGTTCCATCTAATTTTTTCTTAAATGTTCCCAAAGTAATGAATCTTCACACTAGGTATGTAGTTAAATTGAGTTATTATCAGTATAAGTGTACATATAAAATTACATAAATTGAAAAAATATACGCATTTGTTGTTAGGGTGTTGATTAAAGAGTTAATTGCCATAAACTGTGAGATCTCATGAACGATGTGGTCTAAACTGAACAACAGTTAGCTGCCGCAACGAAGGCGTATCCTGTTCAGCACTCTTGTGTAGGTGTTAGAGGGTTACTATATACTATGAAGACATGATTTTTTTCGAAACTTTGGCTATGCGGTTGCAGAGGCTATTGCACTCTACCTCATGTGCTAGTGTCCATTATTGTCTAGCAGAAGGTTTAAAATCTTCAGGGCCGATTTATTAGATCTTACCGACCCCACAGGGCAGTCATTCTACAAAATTTGGGACTTAACCAAGTTTATAGACTTATCAGCTTGGTTCACTTTCATTTGAATGGGGGTGTCGTGTCTTTGACGTTCCTCGGACGCTGACCTCTGGATTGCGCTTAATCAACATTAATTCGTGGTCTTACAACAGGCTATTAGTAAAACTCAAGTGGGCTTTGGACACAAGATCACTACTCTAACCTCACCTAACTGATAAGCTATGTGAATGACTTAATTTCCTTTTAATTTTTGGTATGTGCTACAATACTATAGTGAGATACTGAAAAGTTGAAGTCTATAAAGCAACTGGAACTTTATACGTTCTAGTTATATAAAATTAAAAATAAATAGTAAAATAAAATAATTATTTAAAAATAATTATGCGATATTTATTTTTATGGTCTTTAGCACTGTTAGTACTAAGCTGTATTTAAGATTGATCTATTAATTTCTATTCCCTCGTTTTTAAGTACGCAGTATTTACTTCATTAAATATTATTGTTTTGTAATTTAATTTTAGTTTAATGTAAATATAAACGGACTCGATATAATAATTGTAGTCATTCAACTAAGATCCTATAACAACAAACACATGTACCACATAATAGAGTGGAGCAGTTAATGAACATTAACTCAAGCAACGTACAGTTCATATAATGCTTACAGAACCTCTGAGTGCAAAAAAAAAACTGTTATCCAAGTACGTATTTTAATTATTTAGTTTTTGCATAGAAGAAGAAGAAAAAATAAAAGCACTCATTCTATAATATAAGCATTGAGCACAAATTCATTCTCAATGATTTAAGCACAAAAACAATTTCAGTTCCTTTTGTCATTGAAGACGCTTGGGTTGATATTTTTCGTGGATCTTCGTCTTTTTCGGTTTATGCACTTGTGATTTTATGTGTTATTTACATTTAAAAAATGATATGATTATGATTTTTAATTGTGTTATAAATAATATGATAGTTATAATAGAAAGTTATAATTTTGTTTAAAATTTGTGAATTAAAAAAAGTGATCTCTTATTAGTGACGTGAAAAAACCAAAGTGACAACAACAAAGTCTCTACGCGACAACAACAAAGTTTCTACGCAAATATATAACAAAAACGTAAGTAACAGTACATATTTTGTTTTTATTGTATTGAATTGTTTTTGTTATGCATTGACAAAAATCATATTAGAGACTGAAACATGATTAAATATTGTGCAAATAAATTGATATTAAACATTTTTATGCAGCTAGTCTTTAAGAAGTATACAAATTATTAATAATAATTATATTTGGTGTTAGAAAAACCTATATTTTTATATTATGGTTTATTTGTATCAATAAATTGTTATATTTTAATATGAACGGAAAACAAATAGAATAATAGTAAATACATTGCCGATGCAAATAAATACGGTTTTGACTGTTGCTTTGGGGTGTGTTCAGTAAAGTACAAAAACGCAAAAAAATATTTTATTTTCTTAAATTATTTTTGATTTAATTGTTTTTTCATTTACATTAGTTTTATTATACTTTGATATCTTTCAAGATTTCTACAAGGCAAAGGGTTGTTGAATTATGTTTGAAAATAAAAAATTGTAAAAAAGATTTCTCGTTAAAATTTCACAAGAAATTTTATTAAAAGTTGTGAGTGCTTTTTCTTTGTTGAAAGTTACGTACAGATCTGGGACGTTGATCTAACCAGTCTTATAGCCACATACTTGGAGCAAAGTGAACAGCTGTTAATGCACAATTGCGTTAATATTTATTAATGATTTGTATTTTGGGTACTGATTTTTAGACTCAAAAAAAAAATAAAAATATTAAATTAACAAAATTGTTTTGGCTGCTGATTATGTAGTAGCAAATTGAGAGATTGTTTAAATTTTCAAGTATCTGCTTTTTTTGTTAAATAGGGCACAATATCTTCAGCTGGCATTTTTTAGGCTGCTCTGAGAACGCTCTGAGAGATTAAATAATTAAAAAAAATTTTTAAACATAATATCTTTTTTAATTTTTTAATCTCTCTCAAAAAGTTTTTTATATATGTGTGTACATATCTTTAAAAGAAAGTTTTAAAATATTTTTTATTTATTTATAGCATTTTAATTAAAAATGCATTTACTTAATTAAAAAATTTCAAATATAAGCAAAATATATTTTTTCTTCATAAATATCAATTGCTTATTTCCACATGGGGAAACCACAAAATTTCAATTTACTTCATATATGCAACAGAACAATTGTAACAATTACCAAATAAAAAAAAATCATAAAAAAGCAAAAAGAATAACACAATGTAAACAAACAAATAACAAATAAACAAAGACAATTTCATTTCACATCGTGGCGAACCATTGATTTTTCACAATATTCCATATACTACACTAGTACACTAGTACTACTGGTACTCGTACTAGTAGCATCGACTACAGAAAATCTTTTACATTTATGCTCACTTAACCATTTATGCTCAAGCAATTGTTGTTTCCGTTTCCGCTTGCATGGCGAGGGAACAATTTAAAATTTGTAACAGTGTGGCAACATCGAATTTTTACTAGTGGCGCATTTATGAATAAGTTAAATGCATTTTATTACACAAGTAGCAACAAACAAACCAACAGAAGCGATTGTATATGCAAACTGACTGGTGCCAGTTATAACCACGAACAACTGTAACGATCCACTAGTTTTACACAGATACAAATACATGTAAACATAAATTTATAAACCACAACGTAATTTCCACTCTGCACTACCACAACTTCCGGTAACTTGCGTTCGTTTAAACATGTCCTCTACAAAGGATGCCCGTACGCTTCCTTGGTTGATTATTACGCTTATTCCATTTTATTTGTAATCCTGTTTTACCTACAGAGAAACTTTTGTTTTTTTTTCAATTCATTTTCATTTTAATTCAGCAATAGTTGCTTGGAGAACACCAACAACATCAAAAGCAATAAGACCAACAAGACCAACAGCAACTAGCAACTACTAAAAATATGTAACAACAGCTGAGCCAACAATTCAACATAGCCGGCTTCGTCGGCATTGGCAACGACAACGTGAACTTCTGCAACAACACCTTTCTGTATTGTTAACACCTCTTAAGGTGTGCTCTGGATGTTGTATAACAGTTTTGAATGTGTACGGGGTAAATCATGTGAAAAGTTTAAATTAACGATTTACCACTACAGTGCAGCAGTCTCTTTAAGCCGTTTCCAGTACGTTAGCTTGCTTTATGAGCTCAAAATTCTAGAACAATGTGTTGGGTGAACTGTTAAAATTTTTAAAAAATCTAATTTAGTTTCTTAGTAAATATTATCTTAAAATTGAAATTTCATTTTATAACAAACAAGTATAAAATAAAAATTCAAATATTATTGAGATATAGACATTCAGTATAGTAGAGCGATCATACTATATTATTTTGTTACAAGCGATCCTAACACTACAGAACAAACAAAGTGTTTTTAGTAAAGTCCAAAAATTCTTTTATATTATTTTAATTAATTGAATTTTTGGCTGACCATACAGCTGTTTTGAATATTGCCAGATACCCTTCATCAGTGGTTTTGGAAATAATTTTTGATTTTAAATATTCGTTAATAATTTTTTTGAGACTGCAAGTACTAGGAATCGAACTCATGTCCTGTCATAATTGAAGCTCAGAGTCAGTGCACCTTAACCAACTGACTCAAAGTCGTACTTGACTTTCATGTTCGTATATTTTTCTGGAGTTTTATTAATTTGCAATGAATTTTCATTAAGAAATTCATTTGCTGTGTTTATATTATAACGAAATCATAAACCAGCTGTAGAATATTTTAATTAATTAATTATATTATTATTTTTAATTGTTAAATTTCCATACTATTCTGTTTGTAGAGGCATTATTTGTTGCATGATTTAGATTTATATATTCTTTCTTGTGTATTTAAATTTGATGTAATAAAATTAAATTAAATTTAATTAATGTTTTGTTAGGAAATATTGCTTTAAACATAAATGAACCTATATCCTTAAAAAATGTTTGCGTTAACATAAACGGTTTTATACTTTTATATATTAATATGTTATATAAAATTAATGAATAATTTGTTGTTCATATTTAATTGCACTTCAAGAACAATATAAAAAAAATATTTCTTTCTAAAAAAATTGCTTCGGAACTTTACGTATATTTATTAAATCTTTATTAAGTGAATATCTTAGTTCGATTATGGGATATTGTTTCCTATAAGTTGAAAAGTACTACATCTTTAGAGTCGAAGTTGAGTTTGCAGCACATATAATTATCAAACTTTATAGCTTTATAAGTTTAGCTTTAAATGAAGAACATACTTATAAATAGTTTGATCCACTTCATTAAGATAGCAATTATAAAGCAAGTATTTTCACGCAACTAAACGTTGATGAACTACATATGACTTACTTAAGCTGACCCATATTTTTGGTGTTAAAAGGAATTGTGTATTTCACAATTACCACCCAACCAAAAGTTAACAGTTGCAGTTGCAGTTGCAGCTACTTTCACTGATAAGTATCTTAAAAAGCTTATACGTTTTCCACAAAATTTACCCATTGTAACGGATGCTGGCAATATTGTTAGAAACTGTGGCCCTCATTGAAAACATTTCCGGAAATTTTCCGTTTCGAACGTTAGCACAGAAGCGTTCTCAATTTGTGCAACATAAACGTGATATAAAGCAATCAATTGCAGTTGCACTTGCAGTTGCTGCAGAAGTTGTTGGTGATGCACTAATTAGCTGCGATGCTAAAGTTGTTGTTGTTGTTTTTGTTTTAGATCGTGTAGGAACACTTTTATTGCGAGTGTTCATTCGAATAAAAGCCATGAAGTATTGGTTCTTCTTTACTTTTAATTTTTCCACCAAATACTTCACAAAATCTTATTAAATCTTGAATTTAGGTTAGAAGGTAGTTGAATTTTTACTATTGGAAGCAGTAAATTCAATGAATATTGATTTACATGTACGCAATGTAAAATTAAATATTATTTTGAATTTATTTCAAGTAATTTTATAAAAATTCATATAATTTATGCATTTACGCAATTAAAAATATTACATTTAGTTTAATTTTTTTTTACATTATTTGCACAGGTGTTTTGTATGAATATTAAATATTAAAAATTTTTTTTTTTTATATTGCAGTAGATATTTGTTTATTGATTTTTATATTTTATAACTTTGAATGAAATTCTCCATTACGACCACATTTATTATGAAATATTGAAATGTCTTTTTCATTCAATAATGCAGCCAATACATTTTCAATGTTTCTTATTAAAAAATCACAAAATTCTCAAGACAATCCGATTAAATTCAATTACAACAGCACACAAATATAAAACATGGAGTAACGAATATGAGTCCTTGTGTTTGCGAACTGCTCTACAATTGACTCTGTCAGTATCTTTGCTTGACAGACTTTCAAGTTGCGGTCTGAAATTGACAGTCAGACTTATTGTAGCACAAGTGCGGGTGCATTAGAGCTGAATACTTAATGTGAAAGGAAAAATATTAAAATCGAAATTAAAGTATATAAATTTTTAAAGTAGAAAAAACGTCTTCTGTATTTATATTGTAAATATTGGAAAGTAAGAGAGGATTTCGGATTAAAAGTATTTAAATTGATGTATAAGTAGTGAAAATATTGAATTTATTGCAAAAACTTAGAACTATATAATTCATTGTTTATATATTCGTTTATACAGTGGGCTTTCAGTAAAAAAATTTATTTTTTATACAGATTTGCATATTCTTTTAGAAAAAATTATTAATCTGACTATTGTGGCTTTCAGGGAACAAATTTATGTAATTCTTTTCATACACTCTACACAATTTTCATGTTTTCAACGAAAAAATCGGAAGTTATCGCGCTTTCAAAAATTTCTTGTACTATTATAATATGAAACAAGCATAAGATCGAATTGTAATGAGTCTGCGGACAGTCTTGCGAGGTCAGGATCTGCCATTCAAATCTGTGAACCAGAGCCATATTGTGGATTAAGTTGGTCTACAATTAGGTCTCTGATTGATTAATGGTTTTCAGTCGAGAAAAGTCGCTACTAGCGCGATATTCCAGTTAAGCGTGTAGGTTCATCCCTATAGTTATGCTATGGTATCCTTCTTCAGCAGAATAGAATCGAGGTTACTGGTGGGATATTTAACGGGTCATCATGGACTGTCCAAAGTGATAGATTGTCGACTCTGCTTATAAGCAGACCAGACTTCCAGTCACATTCTCTGTGACTATCCAGCCTTGATCTGGGCTAGGAGGCGGCCACTGGATCAAGGACTACTCTCCCATTTTGACATTAGGAGGCCTTCAACGGTTGACATTCTGGCTTTCATTCGGAAGGCGGAACAGGCATGTCCACCACAAAGTACTTATATTATATTGAAATGAAGGTTTTAGGAAAATTGAAATATAAGAATCAATTATTAATCGAGGTAATATTTAAGACTGATCATATAGTCTGGTTCATTAACATTGCCAAATATTCTTAATCGGTGGTTGATTATTTATTTTAAAAAAAATAAGTAAATTTGGGAAGTAGAATATTTATTTTATGAAAATTCGTTGCAAATAAAGCACTATAATTTAAACTTACTCAAGTTATTTGATTGAAAGCCAAATTACAAGCGTAACTTCTTACGAAAATCTTAGAGAATTTTGCAATTAGTTTGAGCAGAGAATTTAATTAAAAGTCCACAAAAGGTGTTCGTTTTCTTACAGTGTATAAAACTGCTCCTTTGATTGCATAAAAACTTTAAAGTAGGAGAACTCCTTAAAATGAAATTCGTTATGCTCATAACCTAAAAAATATTAAAATTATAAAGTAAAATTTTCTAAGTTTTGATTTCTACGAGTGAAACTGTGGCAAAACTTAAATAAAAGAGAAATAATTTTACTTTTTATAAAAGGTAATAAATTGTAACAAAATTAACAGCAAATCAAAAGATAAAGTATTTTTAAGTTAATTAAAAAACTAAAATAGTATTTAAGCCAAAAGGCGATTGCAAAGTTTTATATAAAAGTTATTAATTAGTAATAATAAGTGAAAATATAGTATTTATACAATTCTTCAGGATTAATTTTTTTATTTTTAGTATAGAAGTAAAAACTAATAAAATGTAATGGTTTTAATAATAAAGTTAAACTTTTATAATTGTTTATTATTTTAATTGACAAAGCAAAAAAATTCAAAGTTTTAAGTATTTAAAAAAATAGTGAAAAAAATACTTAATAGGTATTGAAATAAAACAAGAGTATAGAAAAAAACTTAAGTTTACAAATAAAATATATAAATTTATTTGTTAAAAATAACTTTTCATTGACAATATATCAATTTCGGATAGTGCCAAATATTCGTCATTATTTATTTAAATATTACTGCTTTCAATTCTTCCTATATTAGTTAATCTTTAATCTTGGATTCATCATTGTGAATTGAAATCGTGCCTTCAATAATTTTGATGCCTTATCAATAAAGTGATTATTTAAAATTTTCAAAACCATTTTCATAAATAAAGATTTGTTAAATAAAATAATTTTTATTGCCTTAAGCTATAAGAGAAATACAATTCCACAATTTTGTTCTATTTTCATTCAATTTAATTGCAAAAGAAATTTTCATTTTTTCATTTTAATAAGTTTCCTTTACACTATAAGGATTCTTTCATTAAATTATTTTGCCGTTAGCAGTTTTGATTATTTAGTTTATATTTAAGTCCTTTATAAAACACAAATTAAATTACGTTGAAGATTGCACAATCGAATTGTTCAGAGAAACAAATTATTTCATTCATCTTATTCTACTCGTATTCTGTAAAATATCTTTAGTTAATGAAATTTTCCGGAAAGGTGTCTTAAATGTTTACAATGAAATGAAATCAAATAATGCGATAAACTGTCAAGAAATATTGTATTTTGTTGTAATTTCTGGATTTCATTGTATAATATAAATAATTGAGTAGTAATCAAGAATGATTTGTTATATAAACAAATGATTAATAAATAAATCAAAGTCAAGTTTCACAGAAGATAATTACATTTTGAGCAAGAGCCAAAAATAATTAGAAGAGTAATTTATTGATTCTTGTTTTATACTATATGCTTTGCAAAGCATAATTTACTATTTATACCGTGTTAATTTATCCCATTAACAATGTAAATCCTTATCATATTCTATCTACCCATATGTTTGTTTTGGTTTTAGATTGAGTTTAAAGCAATTAAAAGCATAAAACAACCCACTAAGACGTTTAGTCCTCTCAGTTTCACTGATTTTATATTTCGTCAAGTGACCGTTCAGAAGACGACACTTAAAAGTATGTTTTTGATGATCATATAGTCTACGGATACAATTTAATCACTTATTTGTATTTTTTTTAGGGTGTTTGTTACAGTAACTACTCTTATTGTATATATTCTCTTATTGTATACCAATAAATGAAATTTAAAAAACCTTAATAGATCAACAGGCATATGTTAATAAAGCAGTTACCATCAGAGAGATTGCTGAAAAATAGATATATTATATGGCTCGTGCAAAGCGATTTCAAAGTAGCTTATAAATAGCTTTTCCTGGCGAAAGATGTGATGAAGTATCAACATCAAACCTTAAGTAGCCTTTCTCTAGACATAGCAGTTTTTAAATGTTTTCTATCTCTCATATTCAGAAAGACACTCAAAGGAGTATGTTCTTTAATACTCGTAGTATATGTGATAAAGACGATATCGCATAGAAAGTCGTTTTTACAATTTTTATCTAATTGAAAACTATAGTGGCGTAAACGTAACTATGATAACTTTATTCACTTATTCACTAATACGTATTAGAACTATGAACTCTCGTCACTTTTTGTTTAGATCTATATCTGCTACCTTTTGCACCAAAAAGTGCCCTAACAAGATAATGCTATTTTCAAGACAGTGCTATTGTGCACATATAATTCAGAAATACTACCCTTTGAATCGTAAATAACGTTTGTGGTGATTTTAATATGTTTTTATTTAACGCATTTTACATTATAATTGATGAGATACGCATTAATTACATTTCATTAAGTATTGAGCTCTACTTTATATTGCAATAATTTTTCTGTGAATAAAATAAATAAATATATAAATGAAAAATCAAAAAAACAATAAACCAAAAAGTAAATAATTCAATAAATAAATATTTATCTACTGTTTATTTTATTTGGTTGACTAATTCATTGCTAATACAAAGCTAATCTAATTATTATCTCACTAACGTTTCTTAAATCAATTTATATTTATATTTTAATAAAAAATACAAAATACAATAAATTAAGTGTTGTTTTGGTATTACTAAGAAAAATTAAAGCTGAAGCAAAATTGAACTGGATTATGAACATTAAATCTAAAGGCATTTTAATTGAGAAGCCAAAGCATACTAATATTCTAAATAGTAAATCTTGTTAACGAGCTCACTTACCAATGCAGAAATTTCACTCAAATGCTCATAGTATTTGCGGTTGCAAAATTATTTAATGGGAGCCATTAGTCAAGGTTTAGATATATATAGTATGT